CCATGCACACTAAAATATGGATCCATGCACACTAAAATATGGATCCATGCACACTAAAATACGGACCCATGCACACTAAAACATGGACCCATGCACACTAAAATACGGACCCATGCACACTAAAACATGGACCCATGCACACTAAATACGGACCCATGCACACTAAAATACGGACCCATGCACACTAAAATATGGATCCTTGCACACTAAAATACGGACCCATGCACACTAAAATATGGATCCATGCGCTAAAATACGGATCCATGTGCACTAAAATACGGATCCACACGCACTAATATATGGATCCATGCACACTAAAATACGGATCCACGCGCACTAAAATACGGATCCGCACGCACTAATATATGGATCCATGCACACTAAAATACGGATCCATGCACTCTAAAATATGGCTGACAAATAGTGACATTTATTTGGTCATAGTTTTCTACTTACACTTTAAGAACTTTATCTTTCCCTCCACTGCAAACTCGTGCTCCGTCAGGGCTCCAATCAACGCTGTATACCTAATCCATTAAAATGGTTGTTTTAGTTCCGATCTTGTTGCCGCAATCTTTGTGAAAAGTATCACTTGATTTATAAATCCTATTTATAAATATATGATTTCTTCGATGTGCTACCCTCCCGCCCTCCCCATGCACTCAGCTATTAGATGTAAAACATCCAGCCGTTACTCACCTCGTCAGCGTGGCCAGGAAGGTCGAATAATAATTTCTTAGTTTTCATATCCCAAACCTACGAAAAGAAAGTGTAACACTAAGAGTGATTTTCGTATGAGTAGGAAACACACGGTACTGACTCACAGCACGTACACGGTACGACATGCCAGCCGTAACATTGAAATGGCTTACCATAAGAATGGTTATCGTATGAGTGGGAAACATATGATACTGACTTACAGCAAGTACACGTTACGACATGCCGCAACATCGAAATGGATTCCCACAAGAACGGTATGAGTGGGAAATATATGGTACTGACTTACAGCATGTACACGGTACGACATGCCGTAACATTCAAATGGCTTACCATAAGAAGGCCGAAGACAAAGTACGTTGTCAGCGTATGCACGCCAAACAGACAACAGCAAACTCACAAGTTGATTGGCCGATTAGATGCCTATTTTCAAACTTAGTCTCGATGCCTGCCCCTTTTTTTACCCTCTGCTCCTATTGGGCTGCCTGTCTAGGAAGGGTCTGGACTACTTTGAACCAAGAAAAAGTTTAAAGACCTACAAGGAGGCTGTCTTACCTTTAAAGTACTGTCTGCACTACCACTACACAACAACCTACTGTCCGCTGACCAAGYGATCTGAGGGAACAATATATGAATATGCAATAATTAATAACCTTGGAACATTCCATGGAATGCCTTTTCTTCTTCGTATATCTGGGGGTATACTGGTTTAAAGGCTTTACGTTGAATAAAACAAATCTGGTTAAAAATAAAAAGAAGAAATACAAATAGCGCTATACTCCAGTTTCGAGTTCTCTTTGCCTTAGCCTCTGTTGTACCTTAAAATATCCAACTATTCAACCAAAACCCGTGACTTTTTAATCAAAACGTACTGTTCCATAGTACGTACATTCCTTACTATACAATGGACCTTAATAAAATAAAAGAACACATTTGTACACAATCGAGGCTAAGACTGAGCAAAGGCGAACTCGAAATCGAAGTATTGGGCTCCCTGTGGACGCGGTTTTTATCTGATCCAAGAGGATATGAAGTATTACATAATATTCTCTTGTCTGATCTCATACCTGATATACCGAGTTGACGTGCCCTCGTAAAGATGTTATAAACCTTTAACAAAACAGAAAGAAAGTGTCGATGTGTTTAGCAGGGTGTGTCCGACGAGAGGAGGGATCGGGTATCGATTTTTTAACTAATCTGTCAACTTTTGGTGATCATCAAACAAAACTAACTTATCTGGAAATATGATGAATAGTGTCCCCTGGAACATAACCCTAAAAGATCGTTCTTATGGGTTTCCTGTGTGTTTTCTCTTCTTAATACGTACTTGCCATTCTCGCCATTCCATATTTTCACTGATTTATCAAACGATGCACTTGCGATTACTCGCCCATCGGGCGAGTAACAGACCTGATTTATCAAAGCTTGATGACCTGTTCAACAAAAAAATATGCAACCATAAATGAAATGACGTACAACTGAACCATAAGTTTACTGTATATTATTTTTTCTTCTCCATTACTTTTTACTCGGGCTACCTGTGGTAGGCCGAGTCTAGGTTTAGGTTTTCTATCTATCGTTGTAGTCGAGAATCTGCCATGAAAACGAGGTAATTATGAAAACGAGGCAGAGTTGAAATCACGTGGCCGCAGTTGGACATTTTGATGGTAGCCCGAGTAAACGCACCTAACAGTTTTCAGGTTGTGAGACTGTAAACAGTCCCTCTTTTAGTCAGGTCAAGTTTTCCCCCTAACTTGGTTACGCGGTTCATCCATCCATCACCAAGTGTGAAAAGTGATAAAACAATGACCTGAAATCTCGGGCATCAATTATTTGTTTCATTTTTAAAAATTAACGTTGAAAAAAACAATGTAAAATAAACTATACAGAGATGAAGCCCACGAACAGCAAAATCCTCAAACTGGAATCAAGGTAGTCCGTGTAGTGTGACAATACCTGTAAGTCTTGCTATATGCTTGGAGTTATGCTCTGGTTCCCACAGAAAGAGTGTGAAATCATCTGATCCAGATACTAATCGCTCAGGCTTGGCTCCCTGGAGAGGAATTAAATCAGTCTCAACACTAAGGTCCATGTTCTTGGCGAGAATAAGAAGCAGAAACACAAGTCATTTAAGCTAATATTCTTGGATCTTGGAATGACCTATCTCCTATTGCTTTTCGCCTAATGCCTATCGCCTTTGGCGATGACAATGTTTTTTGAAATAGGTGTATACACCATCTAAAAAAGCCATCCATGGCCCGGGGGGGGGTGTTACTACCAACCCAACTTGGGTAGGGGTGTGCCGCCAGGACCTCAAAACCCTGACCCTCTCTCAGACCTAAAAGTTTGACTTTACATACCCTATCCCAGACTAAAAGACAGAAAAGACGGGTTTTCAATAGATTGCAATCAATATTTACTAACGTTTTTATTGTTTTTGTGCCGGCAGAAAGCATAGCCTATTCGCCACACAAAAAACCGACCAAATCGTTAACCCCATCCCAGACTAAAATGATACCCTATCCCAGACAAAATGTCAAAAAATGATACCC